TGAAATGTCCGCTCTTGGTCAATCGATCCATGATGGCCTAGATAGAATCTACTCCACGTACGATCCTGGGAAGCTTCGTGATAAAATCCATGGTGATATCCGATGGGTTTTGAGCAATACATCATTCCTATGGTGTACATGCAAACCCTAATAGCTTTTGGATCTAGTTTGTCTAATGAACATTCCTATGGTGTACATGCAAACCCTAGATCTAGCATACAATTAATCATATTAACATAAAATAGGGTTTAGATCTTACCTTTGATTGTTATATAGCAATAACAATCAATCCTTGGCTTCAGAAAGCTTAGTGCCTCAAATGTTGCACCTCTAATGGAGTCACAAACACCAAGAGCAACTTGGATGAAGAGGAGAAGAGAGGAGGCAGCCAAGAAAACGTCTACAAACCTTGGAGGGAGTCTTAGCCACACTTTTGGGGCAATAGGGATCCTTTATATATAGGCTATTAGGGTTTTCAACTAGGAAATCCTAATCTGACTACTTAGGTCCTAAGCAGCCCATGGATTCCTTTAACATATCCCTTGGACGATTTCTAATGGGCTTCCCCATAGAATTCATCCAACCTATATATTATTAAGTAATCCATAGCCCAATTGCAATTATCTTATAATTACAAATCCAGTCCCTTAAGTTTAATTAATCTCTTTTAGACACAAAATTAATTCTTGACTAATATTAATTAAAAATGATTTCTCCTTTAATATATTATTCTTATAATATATTAATAAATCATAATTAAACCTTTTTCTCCTTAATTCATCTCACATATTACTATGGTGAAGGCAACCCAAAAGGAACATGCACAATCAGGTCAAGTACATACCAAAATAGTTATGGACTTAGACACTAATCCAACAGTCTCCCACTTGGATAAGTCTAATAACTATTCTGCGTATAACTTCATATCCTAATTAGCAATCGTAGCTTTCAAAAGCCTTTGTCAACTCTGATCTTATCAGAAGCGTGTCCTTTAGATAATATATTATACATTCCTCCATTCTTGATATCGTATAGACATGAGACATGAATTCTAATCACTCTCTCTATACTGTTTCCCGACTTTTGATTTATGATGACTGACAATAGACTACAATTAAACACATCAATTTAGTCTCGGCTTGGCCAAGCGCTTATGTGCCATCACTAAATCATAAAGGGGCCCACAAATATCACTTTTATCCCACTTTAGGCAAAAGGAACGGATAAACTTCGACTCAATGCTTGCTTGTATTCACTCATCGAATCACACACAACAATAAGTTTTATGACACCAAGTTACTGGTGCGTTTACTTATCATCAATGTGCAACCGACCATCAAATAACAACTCACACATCTTGGTTTTAAGAATATACAATATTATCGAATCACAATCACTTGTGCTGAAATCATTGAAGTGATTCTTGTGAGCGTGGGTTTAATCCAATACTCAAAATCATATTCATAAGCACTCATGAACGTTGCAACAAACCTTTGCTATGTCTAATACACTTTATACAATCTACAAACCAATTCATGACAGTCTTCATTCATACCTACTTCCAACATATGAACGACTGTGGACCATTCGAATAATTTGATTATTCTGAAATAATTAATTATTCAGGAAGTCAAAACATGCAAAGTGAAACACAAGAATAATACTAATCCTATATAGTCCCAAACCTTTGAGTATAAATAAAACACCTTTTATTTATCACCATATCAATTACTCATTATTTGTTGTTTCGGTTAATTAACTTATTACTTGAATTATTACTACAATTGTCCCATGCTCTTAGCATGCCCACAATGTTTACTTATGGTCCTTACTTTGTCAAATAGATCAAATGAACACATTTCCAATCATACTCATTTCACAACTCCCAATCCTTATCATAAGTATAAGAATATCAAATTCTTGTCACTTATAGAATACGCTAGATTCTAACATTTCATGCAATGATCCTTTCGTAAAGTCATAGCTCAAAATCATCAAGACTTCGCCAATCTCTATCAGAAACAATTCTATAGATATGATATCTCTCACTCAAAGTACATTCCTTTGAACATCCTTCTTGCATAAAAGTTTCTAATCTAGACATAGATTCTTAATATCCAACTCCCAATATGGAAACATTTCCATATTTGCCATATGACAACTCATTCTTAATAGAATCTTATCTATTCATAATAATGTCGATATGGTCCATTCAATACCATACTTCCAACTACTCACAAGCGACCAATCCTCAGCGAACTTTGGATCGTCCTTTGACAGTTGTTTAATTATCTTAGTCAAAACCAATTCTTGTCCTTTTTCCCTCTTAATGCGCTAGGCATTTGGAAAATTTTAGAATGGTCAAATATAATAGCACTTGCAATCAATCCTATACCCAAAGCGTATGGGACACGATGCGTAATGTCTTACATAAAGATACGATACTCTATCAATCTTCCGCCATAATATTTTATATGTCACGTTCTCGCAATTCGAACTATGAAGAGGGATACAGTAATCATAGTCAAAATTTAAGAACACACTATGTATCCTTTGACTAAATTTATTAAAAATTCTCAATCTAAGCTTTAGATTTTAAAACGAAGTACAATATTCTCTCCCTTAATTATAGCAAAACGACTTTTCAACCCTTACGAATTTACAAGGTATAACTCTTGTTTTCTATAATTAATATTGCTAACTTGCAATACTTGCCTTAATAATCATACAAACACAACATTTATGCTCCCACTATCATGATGATTATTATGATATAAGCATAACAATTATGCTCCCACTAGCTTTGATATGTTTTTAGAAAACAACTGAACTTCCAGAAAACAATACTTATTGAATTTATGAAGTTCATATTTCTTGTACCAGATGCTTCGA